ATTTTAAAAAATTAATTAATTATATATTTATTTTATTTATTATTAATTTTAATAGAATCCTGTATCTGTTTTTGATCGATATGTAACTAAGAATCAAAATAAAGATTTTTGTAAAGATTTATTTTTAAGTTAGCAAAATCGAATCAAGTTCTTTCTAAAGATTTTAATAGAATTATTAAAACATTATATGATTTGAATGTAAATCATAAATTAGATTTAGCTGAAAAATATCTTTATAAATTTGTTACTTGCGAAAATATTGAAAAAGAAAAGGACTTTATTATTATTAATAAAAATCAATCTGTTCTATTAAAATATCATGATAAAATTATTAGAGGAATAATTCATAATGTTGCAAAAAAAAATGTTGCAAATCATTTTGGGCTAAAAATAAAACTTATCTATGATACACATTCTAAAATTAATTATAGATAAAAAATATATGCTGATTCAGGAAAATTAACTGGTCATGATCTTCATGCAAATTTTTTAGATCCATCAACTACTGATTTATATGTATATAAAAATAAAAATCTTGATCTAGAGATTCAAAGAATATATGATGAAGATGAAGATAGTTTTGGAAAATAGTTATATAAAAATGCTGAAGATTATGTACTATATATTATCATGAAATATTTAAACAAAAAGTAAATTTAAATAATGAACAGAAAATAGGTGCAGTATTTTGTGCACAAAACTATAAAGCTGCAGGATATCAGGATAAGAATAGATTAGAATTTGCAATAGGATTTGTTTATGAAATTGGTGTAGTTAAAGAAAGGTATTTTATTTATTCTGAATATGGTGTCGCTATTAAAATGATATCAAATTTAATATAGTGTTGGTTAACGCAAGCTATATATAGTACAACTAAACTTAATTTAAGTAAAGGTGGCGTTTAATATACTAGTGCAATTACTTTAACTGAAAAAACTGCTAAAGTAATAGAAAAAGAAGCAAGTATTACGAAAAATTAGATTTTTTAATTAATTTTATAATAATTTTTATTTTTTATATATTTTATCAATAAAAAATCATTAAAATAAAGGTCTAAACTATACCATTTTAATATTTAATTATCTTATTGATAAAAAAATAATTAACTTTATGCATTTTTAATGAAATTTAAATTTATAATTTAAATTATTAATAAAATCAATTTCAATTATTATAAAGTATTTCAATTATTATAATGTATAATTTTTATAGTTTTAAAATATTAATTTATTAATAATACTATTTCAAGTCAATTAAAGTCAAGTCGAGTTTGAGTCGAGTTTAAATTGAGTTGAGTTAAATATTTAACTTAACTCGAATTTGATTTGACTTGCAAATTATCAAGTCAAAAAAATATAAACTCAACTTGATTTAAACTTGACTAAGCTTATCTAATTCGTAAGTTAACTTAACTTGTCCAAAACTTTAATTATCCATATAAATCTTAACAAACTTCTATTTTTTCTTTTAAAAAATAGTATCCATCTTCCTTTGGAAAGTAGCTAAAGCATTACATAGTCCAAATGGCATTACTGTGAATTTGTACAATCCTTTATTAGTAATGAAAGCAGTTTTCTCTACATTTTCTGGTCAAATTTTTTATTTGTCAAAGCCTTGAGAATAGATCTAAAGATGTGAACTAACAAGAGTCTTAAAATAAGTCTAATAACTCATCTATCCGTGGTAATAGATAATTATCTTTCCTTGTGATTGTGTTAAGTTCTTTGTAGTTAATACACATCTGCATCTGATCATTTTTCTTTTTGACTAAAATTATAGGTGCAAACCAAAAACTATTAGTTGGTCTGATCACTTCTTGTTCTAACATTTCTTCTATTTCTGATGCTATCTATTCCTTTTCTTTTGAAGATGTTGCATATGGTCTCCTTTTTATAGGATGCATATCTTCTGTGATGAAAGATATTGGTTTGTATTAATTCTGACTTTTTATTGGCAATAAATCTTTATTCTTTTCCAGTAACTGTTGTAACTACTGCTGCTGGTCTTTTATTAGGTTTCATATTGGTGTTTCTTTTCCTTTTGATATTTCCACCAGTTTATCACTTGCTTTAATTTATGCTTTATTAATTAAAACAGCTATTTAGTATTTCTGTAGATTCTGATGCAATACTTTACAATATGAATAATCTTCTTCTTTTGATTATGTTTATATAAGCATCATTCTGATTCTTTACAATTCTTGTCAGTCTTAAGAAGTTCAAGTTTACTAAATTCTAAAAATTCAGTTGAATATTGTTGACTATTAATGGTAGTCATATTATTATTAAAGGATACATTCAGATAGTGTTGAGGGTTTTTATATAATTCTTCAAGTTCTAACTTGTCATATTCTTTCTCAATAAAATCTATTAAAGTAAATGCTTTTAGATCAATCTTAGAAAAGCACATGATTGAGACAACATCAGTTTCATTATTTTGTTTGATTATTATGATTTGTTTGCCTATATTAATGACAGCTTTTGTATAGTTATCCAATCATTTTCAAGTAAAACATTATATCCAGAGGATTCAGTAACTATCATATTCTCTTTGATCTCAAACTTTCCTATTTTTACACCTACTTTTAACATTTTTCCTAAAAGCACTGTTCTTGCTTCTGTAATACTAATTATTTATATATTTGTAGATGCTTCAATATTTTTATACACAGAATTTAAGAAACTTTTAGTAATGATACATTCTATAGCTCCTATATTAATCATCACATTAATTTTCCTTTCAAAAACTTCAGCTTCAGCAAAATAAGCATTCTGGGGTTTACATTCCTTCTATTGAGCTTAAGCAATTATCTTAGCAATTTCTAAGTTTTCTAATATCTTTTGGAAATATTTAACATATGTTGGAGTCATTTTTTTTCTTTTGCATTTATTCTCATATTCATCAAAAGTATTTAGAATCTATAAGCTTTATTTGTCTGGTTCAGTATTTCTAAGGGTTATATTCATGTTTATCTTAGTGATATAAACATTACAGTTAAATTCAGAATCATAAAAAATAAGTTTTAATACATTATTTTTAATGATTAATCCTGTTTCCTCCTCTATTTCTCTAATAACTGCTTTGATTGAATACTTATTTTCTTCAACTTTTCCTCTAGAAACCTACTAATATTTATACATTTTCTTATGTTTATTGATCCTTTTTGATAGAAATATCCCAACATTATTGTAGATAATATTCATTACATAGACTGGGTTATGAAACTTGTTAGATTTGTTGCTTTTAGATCCAATTGGCTTTCTATTATCTCACTGCTTTAAAATCTTTTAGACTTCAAGATTTTTTTTCCTTATGATCATGTAATTATGATAATCAATATCATTAAAATCACAAATTAAACATGAAGTATTATATCTTTGAAAAATATGCCAATACTCAACTAATTCATCATCATCTAGAAACTTGTCAACAATAATATATTCATCCTCATAATCTTTTTTCTTAAATTTTTAATTTCTTCTAGCAGATCATTCCATTTTATTTGTTTTTTTAAAGGGTTTAGATTATTCGTACTCTTATTTTCTAAAGGTATGCCCACTAGTTTAAATGATTGATAGAGGAATTTGTTTGCTGATTTCTTCTTGAGGATTGCCTGTTATTTTGCTGATTATTTCTTTTTCTATTGTTATAATTACCATTTCCATTATTATTTTGATTGCTATTTTGGTTAGACCAACAATTCTTTGCTAAATGGTCAGTTTTATTACAATTGTAGCACACCTTTGTATTATTATTATTATTGTTACTATTATTTTTATTATTATTATTAAAGTTCTGAACAGTTCAGTTCAGTCCAGATTAAATACCAATCCGTATCTAAACCGAAAATTTCAGTTCAGTTCAGTTCAGATTATTAATCTTAAAAATGCCTATCCGAATCTGAACTGAACCGCAGACTGGTAAAAATCTGAACTGAACTGAAATTTTCAGATTAATCTGAAATTACAGTTTGATTATATAAGGAATCCGCAATTTATATGCAAAACTTTAGGAGAATTGCAAAAAATCATGAATTTCTCTTGGAGGTTCGCGAAAATTTGCGAAATTCGATGAGTAATCGCAAAAATTTGCGATTCTCTAAGATTTTCACATTTTTTTGCGAAATTCGAAGAGAAATCGCAAATTTTTGCGATTACTCATCGAATTTCGCAAATTTTCGCGAACTTCTAAGAGTCTTGCATATAATCTAACTGAACTTTCAGATTAATCCGAAATTATCAGTTCAGTTCAGATTTTTTTTGGTTTGGATTAGAATTATAATCCGAAAAAAATCGAACTGAACTGAAAATTTTCAGATCAATTTTTATGCAATCTGAAACCGATTCGAACTGGACTGATCTGAAAATCTTCAGATTAATCTGAACTGTTCAGAGCTTTAATTATTATTATAGTTATTATTATTTCTTTGCCCTATCCTACAATCTTTTGTGATGTATCCAACTTTATTACATTTGTGACAAATCCTTGTATCTCTATTATTGCTTTTATTATTAATATTGCTATTATTGCTTGACTTATTTTGATCTTCTAATTTTGACATGAATTAAGCTAGTTTTCAGTCAATCATATCTTCTATTGATTCATTTTGTTAAGAAGTTTTATTGGTAAGACTTGTTAGAATATAACCATACTTGTTTGAGCTAGAATAAATCTACTACTCATACTCTGGAAATAGTTTGGTATCATTGAGTATACAGATAATTCTATTCCAATTGAATATGCTATCTTCAATACCAAAGCTTTATTTATAGCTTCATCAACTATTCTAGGTAATAAAAATTGAACTAATACAATGAATTCTGATCTTAATCCTTCTATGAATTCTGCTATTTTGTTAACTTCTTATTTCATTCCTTATGGATCTAATCTTTTCCATAATTCTGTAATTTGAGCAACATATTTATCAATAGTTTTTCCATTCCTTTGCTTAAGATTTTACAGCTGATGTTTCCACTATTGCTTTCTGAAGATACTACAATAGTGGTTCTTAAATTTATGAACAAAGGATCTATTCTGTAACATGTTATTTCTTCAGTATATAAAATTGCTTTTGCTGAATCATGTAAGAGCTATTCCTTTTAAATAGTTAGGCAATATATCAAGAATACAATTATTAGTAACTTTATTAGCCTTATAGGCTTGTTCAAAAGCTTCTAATCATTCAATTGGATCCTGATTTTTTCCTTTAAATTCTAAAAAATTCTCTAGCCTTGTTTTGTAAACTATTGAATATGAAGTTACTGTATGTGCCTTTAATAAATTTTTAAATTCTTGCAAGAATTGTGCGATTATATCATTTCCTCCTTCTGGTTTTCTTTGATTTTCTCTATCATCAGTATCTTTTCTTCTATCATCAGTTGTGTTTTAATAGATGTTTCTTCTCTCTTAAATATTTCGAATTAGACTGAAAGTTGTATCTTTAATATTTCATATTGTTCTAAGATCTTCTTCATCCTGATCATTTTGATATATATTATCATATTCTGTGGTCATTAAATCTTTGTTTTCTGAATTGGTCTATAGGTTTGAATCTTTTAATGAGTTGTTTTTCTCCTTTTTATTCATTATACAATAGTATTTAATATGTGGTTTTTTGAGATCGACAGGAGTATATTTTTTGAATAAGTATTTTGGATCATTTTTTATTGTATTTCACACATTTTGTTTATCATTATTTCTTCATACTTTTGCTTAAATACATGATCAGAAAAAATATTATTAAGGATTGCTGTCCATTTTCTATGTGGATCAGCTTGGTTTTCAGATGTCTTTCTACCAGGTGTTGAAGTACCTATATTAAATGTAACTCTGTCTATTTTTGATGTGTTTGAAAACTTTTGAAATATTCTCCTGAAAGTTCCTTTTGAATTACTTTTAGAGTTAATTTCTGATTTTATTGATGTCTCAAATTTCCAGCAATCAAATTCTAGATAACTATTCTAAGCACTTTTTAAGTCTGCAAGTAATGTTTCTAAAGGTTCCTAAATAAGGGGTTGGTATCTAATTGATTGTATAATTAATTCAAAGTACTTTCCTAATGCTTCTGAATTTTCTTCTAATGTAAATGCTTTTTTAAAAGCTCTAATAGTTATATTATTAAACTGTTCTCCTTTTATTATATAGGAAAAGTAAATTAAAAAAAATAAAAAAAAATAATAAAATTAATTAAAAAACTTATAATTTAATTTCAAGTAATAATGAGTTATTTAATTGCAATAATTTAAAAGTCCATTTATTCTTTAAAAATTAATTTTTTATAAAAAAAATAATTTGATAACTATTCAGAAATACCAAAAATTCTTAAATGCTTCTGAAGGTTGTTCTATTATCAGATAACATTCAGTATGAGATAGATCTGAATTACTTATTATCTCTTATTTATTTTCCTGCAAGTATGTTGTAGTATGTCTAATAATTCTTTGATTATATTTCTTTTTACTTATAATTAACTATTTTATTGTTCATATATTTAAGTACTTCCTTAATAGTTAGTCTCAATTTATGAAATCTGATAAAATCCTTAATATTATCAATTTCCTTTTGAATACGCTGAATTATCACAAAAGGTACTGGTTTATCTTTACTAATGTTTTTAAGCAAATTTTTTAAAGTTCTCAATTGTAATTTCAACTGCAATGACTGAGGTGTCTATAGAGGTTTAAGATAAACTTTAACATTAGACATCAATTAATTCTAATTTACAATTCTTTAATTTCTCTTAATTCTTTTAATTTCTAATTTTTGTTTTCATCCAATCTGCATCAAATTTGTTATACAAGTTGATTGTGAAGTCTACTGACTGAAAAATAGACTTCAACACGTATAATAATATTTTAGGTATTTGAAGAATAACAATATATATTAACAATACTAGAATCTTGTTCATGTTAATAGAATTTATTAATGTAAATCACTACAATAAGTGTATATGTTTATATAAAAGAGCAATAATAATAGATTGAATTTTATATTACAAGTTTAACTAATTAAAGTTATAAGGTAAAAGGTTAGTTTTATTAATTAAAAAATTTGGAATCAATATTACACAGGTCGAAATAGCACCATTGTCCAAATTCTAATTTTGCGTAAATCCTACATTTTTTTAGAAAATACTACA